AGACTCCATAATGTCCCAGTGGTTTTTATGTGCTCCACTCAAACAAATAAAGTATTCTTTAGCATCTTCATACCCTACATCATCAAGAAATTTTTTGGCTTGTTCCTAGTCCTTGGGCCACCTTATTTTCATTGTGTGGTCTTCTTCATCTATTTCTTTTCCTCTGCAATACATACAGCGAGCATAGCAAAGCAAGTCTTCTTCAGTGCGTAATGAAGAACTTTTCTTACACTAAGTTTAATTGCTTCAAATATTCACTTCACAATGGCATACTTTAATTTCTGATCTTCAGTACCAGGAGCAGTTCCTCCATTGTCATCCCCATTTATGCCATTACCATCATCTCCAATATTATCCACACCTTCAAAGTCCATTGGGGGGGGGTCCACATCCTCAACATCAGAAAGGTTTTGATGTTGAGGAGAACAAATTTGTTCAAAGTTTTCAGTTGCATCTTCATCTTCTACTTCTTCAGTGGCCAGATTGGTTGAGGCACCACACTGCAAACTTACTGTTTCCTCTTGCAAACCAGTGAATTGGTAATCTGTAAAAAAATTAATGCATTTATGTTACTTTTTCAAAACCAAGTATAAAATAAAAAATAAGTCTATACTGAGAATTATCATCAGGAACTCGAGGAACTGCAATTGTTTATGTTTGCAACAATCTCACTATGACATTTCTACATTGAACTCAATTCTCCTAAAAAAAAAAAAAAATCCAAACATGATCATCACAATACACAGTTTAAACAATGCTCCCGGGAAACGTGAAACTATAAAGCCTGGAAATAAAACACGTGTTTTTGGAACCGTTTCGCGCGGACTGAAAGTTGATTCGCCCGATAGTGGATGTTTAGAACGAGAAATTACATGTTGTCTTGCCTGCCACTTTTAGCTTGCTTTGCATTGAATTGGCAGCGGATGTGAAGAACGACAAATACATCTTTGGAAGTTAAGTCTTGGCAGGTTTTATGTTTGGTGCGCTTGGAATCGACCTTTATTCCGGGCGAATCATCTTTTAGGGGCGAAACGGTTCCGGGCGAAATGACCACAGTTCGACAAAAGTGAATATGAAAAACAAGTTCATAATTTGAGCAAATTACCTGCTACACTGACTGCATTGGAGGCTTCCAAATTCCTCTCAAATTCTAAGTGGGATATTTGGGTTCGGTAATTCACAGGTTTTCCATTGCAGGAACTGCAGCAACAGTGAACATGAACTGTTTTCTTGGCAGAACAAAAGCAGAGAGAAGATGGCTGTCTCTTTCCTCCCTCCGCCATGTTTGCAGCTTGAATTACAAGCCAGGCAGCGGTGTCATTCATTAATGACACCTCAGGTGTGTTTACAAGAATTAACATTTGTTTTGAACCAATCAGAGCGAATCACGGCACGCCAAAAATAGCGGGAAATATTACTGCTCGTGCATTATGTCATAGCGGCTGTTCAGGCGAAGACGTATCGTCTGAACGCATCTTGTCCGATGCATCGATGGACTACCTTGGATTATCAACAATTGGAAAGAAGGACAAATTTGCCACTGCCGTCCAGGATCTCTTCGGTAAATTTATCAAAGTCACAATAATGATAATACAGTCAGTTTTTATTTTTGTGGTTTCTTCAAGTTCTGAATAGACCCTTTCACGGTTTCTGGCGCCATTTTTGTTGTGGGCAAAATTTACAGCCAATGTATGGGAAAAGTTAGGAGTTCCAAGCACAATAATTTAAAGAAAATTAACACTCTGCAATTTCTATGAATAACAAGG